ACACACCACACACCACACACCACACACCACACACCACACACCACACACCACACACCACACACCACACACCACACACCACACACCACACACCACACACCACACACAACACACCACACACCACACACACACACACCAACACACAACACACAACACACAACACACAACACACAACACACAACACACAACACACAACACACAACACACAACACACAACACACAACACACAACACACAACACACACCACACACCACACACCACACACCACACACCACACACCACACACACACAACACACAACCACACCCACAACCACAACCACAACCACAACCACAACCACAACCACAACCACAACCACAACAACCACAACCACAACCACAACCACAACCACAACCACAACCACAACCACAACAACCACAACCACAACCACAACCACAACCACAACCACAACCACAACCACAACCACAACCACAACCACAACCACAACCACAACCACAACCACAACCACAACCACACCACACACCCACCACACACCCACCACACACCCACCACACACCCACCACACACCCACCCCACACACCACACACCCACCACACACACCACACACACCACACACACCACACACACCACACACACACACACCACACACACCACACACACCACAAACACCACACACACCACACACACCACACACACCACACCACACACACACACCACACACACCACACACACCACACACACCACACACACCACACACACCACACACACACACACCACACACACCACGCACACCACACACACCACACACACCACACACAACACACACACCACACACACCACACACACCACACACACCACACACACACCACACACACCACACATCACACACACACCACACACACCACACACACCACACACACCACACACACCACACACACACCACACACACCACACACACACACCACACACACCACACACACACACCACACACACCACGCACACCACACACACCACACACACCACACACACAAACCACATACACACACAAACCACATACACACACACAAACCACATACACACACAGGCACCCCACACACACACACACACCACACACAAACGCACACCACACACGAACACACCACACACCACACCGCACGTCACGCCACACCACGCCACGCCACGCCACGCCACACACCAGACACCACACAGCACACACCACGCACCACACACCACACACCACACACCACACACCACACATCACACCACACACCACACACCACACACCACACCACACACCACACTACACACACACCACACACACACACACCACACACACACACACCATGCCACGCCAACGCCACACACCACACACCACACCACACCACACCACGCCACACCACGCCACGCCACACCACACCACACCACACCATACCACACCACACACACCACACACACCACACACTCACCACGCCACACACACGGAGACACACACACACACACACACGCACCAGAAGTTGCGGCAAGGTTCTTCCGTGGCCTACGTTCGTGGTGGACGTGAGAGGATTGATTCTTGAGTCTTGGCGCGCAACTAACTCATAGCTGGACAAGACACGCGCCTTTAGAAGATGGCACGGATGAGTGCACTCGAGACTTGCAGGGGTGAGGTGGACAACCATCACATTTCCGTGGGGCGAATGTCGGGAGCATCGTAGCCCCATATTTTTCTCAGGCACTATGAAACGGAGGTACTCCGAACATAGGTCATGTTGACTGAGTAAGCAACAGAAATGCCACTATCCGGAGATGAGGAGACAAGGGTGACTGGGCAGTCTATGAACTCCAAACTAAGTGAGGCCACCCAATGTTTCTGTTCACATTTGGGTGAACAAGTGAATGTGCCTGACTGCCTGATTGCCAATGTGACGTTTTGCGAGTAGAGCTGTTTTTTGGGTGCTTTGGTGTGCCGCATTCGTTGCGAGTTCACAACACGCGAGCATGATGCATGACTGTACTGCCAAAGGATGTCAACGATGCTGCCCTCTCCATCTATGAGACACGCAGCAAGGCCGGGCTGAGACGCAAATGCCTTGTGTCTCCTCACACGATCATCCGGCCAGGCTGACCTGCTGGGCAAAGTTGCCGTGGATGTCCTGGTCGCAGATGAGGCCGTTTCTGGATGTTTCGGTTTGTCTTTTTCGGGGGACCCCGCTTTCAAAGTGGTGTTCCTTTGGGTTTCTGCAACAAACCACGCGCCCTCGTCAAAAAATGACGCGCCCAACTTGCATAGTTTTCGGTCAAGTGATTCGCCAGGACAGAGCTGAGACCGGTGTGCACCTGCAGGAGGTCCTTGAAGGCGCTGACAGCGGAAACTGCAAGGACCGGCGGACGTTGGGCATGTCAGTCCTCGTTTCTTGGGGTCCGATTCCTCCAGTTATGTTTCCTCTTGTTATTCTTACTTCCTTTTTTTGTTTCTTCTTTATTTGTATTCTTATTTTATCTTTTTCTTCTTACATCGAACAAGGGGTCCGATTCCGATTTTGAGGCTCACCTTTGGCATGTGACTCTGTCCAGTGTGCGAGGTGACCTTGGTGACTCAAGCAGGCGGGCTTCGGCTTGTGAGCTCTGGTCGGTCCACGTGGCGGTGGGTCAAAAATGGTTGGGTCAAAAATGGTTGGCTCAAAATGAAACCACCAACAAAAACCGCCGGTGCTAGTCCTTTCCATTTACCAGGGCAACCCATTTTGGGTTCCTGTTTCCTACTTTGTGACCTACACCCATTTGGCTTTGGGTCAAAAATGGGTACCCAAAATGGCTTGCCCTGGTGAATAGAAACATGGACTGACACCTGTGGTCCAATTCCTGGTGACTAATTTTGACCCACAGCCATGTCAGGGTCTCATGTGTTTCGTGAGATCTCAGGGCGAAAGCAGACGTACTGGCGGGCAGCTACGCTCCGAGGTCAAGGAGGACCTGAGTGGTTCAGGTCGTTTCCATAGGTGCCCTTTTGATCGGTGAGCCTGGTGAAAAATAGACGGGTTCCACTGGTTTAGATGGGCTTTTGGTTCCATTTCCCAGGGAAACCCATCCATTTTGTTCCAAGAAAGGCCACCTTCGGAGTCGTTTCGGCCGACATTTCATGCGATGACTCGGCATGTTCGGCATGTTGGGGGGTTGCGGCCATCCTGCAGCCAAAACGAAGTTAGGCCAGAGGTGGCGAGTGAGCAAGCCAAGCTTCACTTGGCTGGGAACATTTGCGGAACCAGGTGAGCTCTTTACCCCCGCCAGAGGGAAAGGGGCCCTCCCCACACCCACGTGGCTGTGGGTCAAAACCCTGTTCCCTTGGTGAACATCAAAATAGGTGGCACATGGATGCTCATCCGCCCCAAAATGGGATCGCCATAGGCATTGCAACCCATGGCCACGTCATTGCCCTGATGATTTCATGCCACACGCCGCAAGATTTCGTCAGGAAAGCTGGAGGGCGCCATAGTGACAGTGCAGGATATGGGCGAAATCAAGGCTTTGGCAGGCGCCGCTTCATCTCACCGCCAGAATCAAAACCCGGGCAAGTGAAGGTTAGAACGTTAGAAAATCTCAGCCAGAATCAGTTGCGGAGTTCTTGGTTGATTGGTGTGGGTGCAACATTTATGGCTCAAATCAAAGAGCTGGGGTTTTAGTCTTTGGTTTCATTCACCAGTGCCATTTTGGCAACATGTTTTGGAGCCACAGCTGGGCGTTTCTCAAAAAAAAGACAATCAATCGGTCCCCAACAAATGGGATGGTGTCTCAGTTCAGTGACCCTGGAAATCGGTTGTCCTTTTTTGAGCTGTTCAAAGGTAATCCTCAATGCTTACCTGGGGTTACGCAAGAATTCCCCTTTGTAGTGGCTTTCCTGCAGGGATTATGGATTCGGATTGGCCAACCCTCAATTTTGAACAGCCCAGCTTTTTGGAGCAGCCATTTTACCGCTCGGTTTTGCCGTTTTGCCGTGACTCCCCTGGCCACCCGGCCCGGTCTCGCGCCGCGCGCCGCGGGATCTCTCGGCTCTCGGCTCTCGAGGCGCGACCGGCGCCGCCGGGGGCGCGGAGCATCTCTCGGGAGCCCTGGGCGCCAGCGGGATGGCTCTGCCACTTCGAGCGCTTTAAGATCCAAGAGTAGTCTGAATCCAACCACTGAAAAGGCACCCCGCCCCCCCCCAAAAAAAAAGAAAGAAAGAAAGAAAGAAAGAAAAGAAAGAAAAGACAGAACATCCACCAGGGTTTCTTCATCCAGGGTTTCCCTCCGTTGGCCTTTTTGGAAGCTCTAACAGTGGCAGTTTGAAATGGAAACCAGTCAGTTGCAACTTTTGAATGGCTGGTTGATTTTGAAGGGAGCTTGCTGCGAGACTGAGGTTTTGCGTCGATACTGAAGGAAAGGTCCTTGAATGGACGCCCAAAACTGAGCAGCTTGCCTCAGTGCTGGCATGATGGGATGGTGGGTTCATAGTCAGCGGACAGCATGTGCCAACGTTGGTCGTTTTGCAAACCCCAGTGCAATGAGTTGCGAGCTTCCTGCGCCGTGGGCTTCCTCTCTGCCCCTTCTGCTCATTATGGGAGTTTTGTGTTGCGCAGAACAGGTGCAAACATCGGCGCAGTTGTGTGTTGGGGCTGCTTTGCATGTGTCGCGGGGCATCATCAACGTACTCCTAGATTTTGAGTTCCGATGGTGCATTTCGTGTTCCCTGCAGGGTCAGGTGTGCGTGATTGTCCGCTGGGTCACCATGACAAGACCTGCCTGCGTTCTCAACTGTGAGGTTTGGCGTGTTTTGGCCAGTGCAGGCTAATCCTGACTGTTTGGCTCGTCCTTTCATTGTTTCCGGCTCAGCTTGCCTTTTATTTTTGCTTCCGTAAACGCCGGTAACGAGTGGTTTCACAGCTGTCTGCTTGCTTTATTTGCGATGCTGACATCCAACCGAGGAAGCTGACCGGCTTCTCCAGTGGCCAGGCTCAAGGCAGAGACGCCGCCTTCTGTGTCCCGGAGCCTGGGTCGAATGAAGCTCTTGTGTTTTTTCACGCAAAAAACCTGCGGTCCGGTCCTAGGCCAAACAAAAGCTGACTGTGTCAGGAGCATTTCCAGCGAAGCATCAAAAAGGCCTTGGATCAGGCGCTTCGAGGCTTTGCTGCAAGGAGCTCTGAGCTCTCCCGATGAGTTGCCGGGTGTGAAGCAAGAGGTGGTCACGTATCAACCGGCGCAGAGCTTCTCCCGCGACGTGCGCCAAGGTGGGTTGGACGTGGCACGCTTCAATGTGGAGCTCTCCACCAGTAGCAATGGGCCCAGAAAAAGATCGATTTCGATCCTTCCAATCCGAAGATGGCATCAGATGACCTCAGTTGACTTGTTTGGGCCAAGGCGGCAAAGCCAAAGAGCCTTTGCCGCACTCAGAATGAGCCTTTGCCACGTCTCAAGCTGTGGTTGCGTGTGGGTGGGTTGTGTGGGTGGGTGTGTGTTTGTGTGTGGGTGGGTGGGTGGCTGGGTTGGATCATCCCATCAGGAAGCTTGGCTCAGCATGGCTCCATGGCGGTCAGCCACCGGCCGCATCGTGGGAGCTGTGGGTAGCTTCGAGGATGCAGCGGAGGTGGACCGCCGACTCGGCGAGGCGAGTCGCCGAGGGCTTTGGGCGGCGTGCGTGGCGTGCGTGGCGTGCGTCGCTTCTCACCGGATCCTTGACTTGAAGCTCTCTTTTTTTCCAGGGATGGCCACCTGGTAAAGGATGGATCCTGAACCGAAGTGCTTCTTATTGGGGGGGGGCTAAGACTTTGGCCAAGCGGTTGAACCAGCGGGAGTTGAGCCAACTTCGGCAAACTTGGAGCCCCCGACTTGGGCATGGCATCGGTTTAGCAGCCTCGATGCAGGCGCAATGGATTCGAGCCCCTTGGAACAAACTTGACCTGGCAGGTGCATTGAGTGACGGAGCAAATATCTGGATAGAGTGTCTTAGATGGTATGCCCGCAGGCCACGCTTTGGATGCTGCTTTCTCTTGTGGATCAAGCCTTGGGCATGAAACGAGTGCTAAAAAAAAGAGCACGAGAGAAACAACAGGGGAGAGGAAGCCGCAGACGTTTGTCTAGAGTATGTCCAGGCATTGCCTGATGTGTTCTCTCTGCTACAGCTCTTGAGCCAAGGAGGCGACTGGAGAGCAGCTGGACCGAGCCAATGCTCTCATCTTCTCCATTGACTCCAATATGTGGCCGAGATGCAGTTATGCCGGAATGCGTACGGTGTTCGCCAGATGCTTCAATGTAATCGCAAGCGTTTACCAGCGTCCGTCAAGAGAAAAAGTTGCCGCGCTGACGGGGGAGAGGGGGAGAGAGAGGGAGGGAGAGGGGGAGAGGGGGAGAGGGGGAGGAAAAATGATAAAGAGACAGAGGAAGCGGAAAAGAAGGAGGAAGAGAAAGAGAAAGAAAAGGATAACAAACAAAAGAGGAACCGGAAGAGATGGAGAAAGAGACAGACTACGCGAAAGAAACGGATAATGAGAAAGAGGAAGATAAATAAAGATGAAGAGAAAGGGCAAGAGGAAGAGGAGGATGCATAGACAGACTGAACAGAAGGCAAATAGACGGACGGGCGAGGTTGGGAGAGACGAGATTGGTTATGTTACAGAAACGACGAGTAAGACCGATAGGTTGACAGACGATTGATATAGGCAGACCGGCAGACCAACAAACAGACAGACAGACTGACAGGAAGGATCAAGGCTGGGTCGATTAGTAGAAATGCGGATAGATTGGTAAGACAGCTCGATTAGAAAGATAGCCAGTGTAGACCGATCAACAGAAAGTTGGTGTTCACTTTCCAGCTCGAAAATCGCAAATCGCGTGAGGGCTTTTCGGTCTGCGCGACGGCGCGACGCGGGCTTCCACTTCCAGCTTGCAGCTTAGTGCGAAACAGTTTTCCAGCTCGGAAATCGCCGCTTTGCAGAACGATCATAGTATGCCATGTGCGCTTTTTTCTCTAGCTCCAGATCCAGAGCAACTTTTCAGCACGAAAGTAGTACGCAAAGTTTGCTTTCCAGCCCCAGCTCGAAGATCGCGACCTTTCAGTACGAAAGTAGTTCGCAGTGTACACTTTCTCACAGACAGACAGACAGACAGACAGACAGACAGACAGACAGACAGACAGAGACAGACAGACAGACAGACAGACAGACAGACAGAGACAGACAGACAGACAGACAGACAGACAGACAGAGACAGACAGACAGACAGACAGAGAGACAGACAGACAGACAGATAGACGATAGACAGATAGATAGACAGATAGATAGACAGATAGACAGATAGACAGATAGACAGATAGACAGATAGACAGATAGACAAATAGACAGATAGAAAAATAGACAGATAGACAAACAGGCAGGCGGAGAGATAGACGAAACGTAGAAGAAGCAATGTAGACATTGACACATCAATAGATGAATAGATAGACATGTTGACATACGGACAGAGGAAACAGAAAGACTGGCAGGCAGGCAGACAGACAGGCAGGTAGGTAGGTAGCTGGGCGGACAGACGGGCAGACAAGCAGAATAGATACTTAGGTAGATCGGCGGATAGGTAGGTAGCTAGATAGATAGGTAGAGAGATAGATAGGTAAGTAGACAGATGGATGGATAGGTGGATAGTTGGACAGATGCATAGATGGATAGACGCATAGCTAGGCAGATAGATAGGTAGATAGGTAGATGTACGGATCTAAATGGATGAATAGGTAGATGGACCGATAGACAACACAATGGGTCAATAGGCAGATAAATACATAGGCATTCGCATACACAGATAGCCACGCTTGAAACCGGGTTCCCGGTTTCTATCAGGCTTGTTTTGCTTAAGGCCACGGAGAAAACCGAGGTGCATCAACGAGTGGAACTATCGCTTAGCAGATGTCACTGGCAAGGAGAAAGAATCGGTGGCTGGGAACCTTATCTGCACAGTTGACTGCGAGAGACCTCATGCGCAGGTCTTTTTTGGGGACCCAAAATGCCTTCGGTGGTCCTTTTGGTGTCCCGAAAAAAAAACCAAACAAGGGGTACCTTCAACAAGAGTCACACCCAAACAAGCAAGTCAGGCAAGGCCCTTCATTCAGGTGGGTGGTTTCCTTTTGGTTTCCTCAAAACCATCCCAAAAGGGGACCGATTCGTATTTTGAGAAACGTCCAGCCGTGGCTCAGAACATGTACTAAAATAGTACCTTGGTAAATGAAACCAAAGACAAAAAACCAGCGGATTGCCTCAGCTCTGAAAATGAGCCACACCCTGTGACCAGTTGGCCATGGTTCAAAACCAATGGTACCATATTGGGATAGGTGCACCACCCATTTTAGTCCATTTTAGTGGGGATTGGGATGTTCACTGGGGGTACGGGGTTTTGACCCTGCGGCCAGTTGACAACCGCTCCGCTACCAGGCACAAACTCGGAGATGTGGTACTTGGAGGTTCCAAGAAGCTCACGGAGGATGCTGCCGCTGCTGCTTTGGCAGGAGAGTTGGCTCCAACGGTACAGAGCCTTGAGCGGCAGTTGGTGCTAGAGTCGAATGACGCCATGGATCAGTCATTTTTTGAGGAACCCCCCTTTTTTCGTAGGTTTTGCAGGCAAACCCACTTGGAAACCGCCATTTTGGTGGTCCCCCTGTTTTTACTTAATGCAGGCCCACATGTGACTGAACTTGCTTTCTCGCTGGGCTTGTGACATCACTGGGAGCATGCTCATTCCGGCATGTCGACGATGGAAGGAGACATTGCCAACACGATGCCAGGAAATACGATGTTTGAAAGGCCGGACATTTATTGCACCTTCGCAAGGTGCCCAAGCCAACCATGCACGATAGTCAATGCCTCCAGTGCCAGGGCGTGCGTTACAGCACGTCCATTTCAACATGCGGTTGTTTGACCAGATTCATTATGTTCATTCTGGTGTATATGGGAACATATCAACGTAGGATCCCTTTTCGCCTTGACAGGATTCAAGCCTCCTCACTTAGAATGGACATACCTTGCCCTGTACACTATGTTTTGTGCCGGCACTTTGGACTTCCAGACGCTAAACAGTTGTCAGAGCCATATGAGGATTTCGCTGTCTGCTGGAGTGGACATGGTGGTTGGCTTTTCCCCGCAGTTTAGCTTCGCGGGGAAGGCGCGGCACATTTCTGCTTAGCTTTGTGGTGAATTGTGCACAAAGCTCTGCCACAAATTCCTTCGGGTGTGTCTTTTTGGGGGAACCGACGCCAAAACGGCCCAACGGTTTTCCTCTTGCTTTCCCTTCAAAACCCAGCCAAAGGGTACCCTCAAAACAGGAGGACCCATTCTTGGTCTGAGCTCATGCTCGCCCGAGCCCTTCCCCAAGCTCTGTGAAAGCGCGCAGGTCGTTGGAGCACTGGCGATTGGGCAACTGGTGACCAATTCCTCCCGGCAGATGGAGCCGAGCACCAGCCGCAAAACCAAGGCGCGCGGCTGAGGAGTGTTGCCGCGGCAGGAAGATTTTGGCGGCATTTGGGTTTATGTTCAGCGGAGCATTTTGGGTTGAGCCGTTTTGGTTCACTAAAAAACCAGCTCCAAAAACTGCCCGGAAGGACCAGAATCGATATGAGGATTGGTCAAACGGTCCGTGATACAGGGAAACCGCCAAAAAAGATAACACTCTCCCCACCAAGCGGGAAAAGTCACCCATGGTCGTAGATAGGGCGCGTGAAAGACTGAGAGTGCAGGAAAGGTAAGCTTTGCGCTAGCCAAAGAAGGCCCCAACGCAGCGGCAAAAGCTCGCTGCACTCCGGGAGGAGCATCCTGCTAAGTGTTTGGCCAGGGCAGGCTGCAAGCGAGCCAAGTGAAAGCACTGAGTGCGAGGGGGGGATCCCCACCCCCTTCAAAATGGAATTGGGGGAGGGTGACCGCTGGAATTTCATTTCGGGTTCCATTTTCCCTGTTGTGGGGAAGACTGAATAAATGTAATTGTGGGACCCGCCACCCCCC